CCTCCCTCCCCCCCCCCCCCCCCCCCCCCCCAGCAAATATTTTTCTTAAGAAAAAACCAGATTTTTCACAGCACAGTTTTCTTCCAAAGCTGAATTTTCAAATCACAAGTAAGCAGATGTCATATCCAAGAAACATAGTTTTAGGCCTATAAAAATACTTTTCAATATTACTCTAAGTTTAATCACAGTAACATCCTAATCTTTCCTAAGAAAGATAAAATAACACAGCTTAGCTCCACTTAGTTTCAAAAGCAAATATTTTCACAGCAGTTCAGTGATAACACAGTACCTTACTTCTGCTAAATAACAAAGGACTCCGTTATCAGAGCAAGCTGTTTTCTTGGGAAGTGCATTTAACTGTTAAAATATTCCACTCTATCAGAATATGAGGATACTTACCCTTTTCCAAAGACTTACACATGCTGATGTCAAGATAATGTATTCCAGAAAATCCCAAAGCTTGAAACAAATTTCACAGGGACAAAATACAATCACTGGACTAACTTTTGGTTATAGTTAGGGCATACAGAACGTGACTGAAAGCATTCTTACCTTCAGATGCGGTATATGGAAGGGGTGACTGAGGTAAGAAGGATTGAACTGGACTAGCATCTACTGACAAACTATTAATCTACCACAGCCTTTTTAGACAATAAATTCTGGACACATTGTGTCAAAGATAGTTTAATGCAAGTATCTTACAAAACAACATTAAAAATGTTTCATAATCTCAGCATAAGTGTTGATTCTATTAACATTTTTATTGAATGACATTTATTCATTTGGATTCCTTTCTTCTCCTGTCCTCATTTCTAAATAGGACTTAAATAGCTATTTTTCTAGACAATGTCAGTACTGAGATCTGTTTACAAAAATTTCTCAGACCACCCACAGTCTTTAAGTAATCATGCTGTATGATGAGTCCCTATCCCTTCTTTTGCCAGTTCAACTGCTAATAGTTGAAACAGTAATGCAATATCTCACAAAGTCACAAAAATAATTTGCAAGATTTTTTTGTGTATTTTAAGGAAACTCCCGAAGTATTAACATACTTTGCCTTTTCCAGAAAGAATTCAGATTTTCATGCCATTTTCTCTTCTATTCCATCTAGCTTCTTGGTTTATTACATCATCCTCTTTTTGCAGATCACTGATGTGATTTTTAGGAGGGAAAAACACAAATCTCCTCCAATGAGGAGAAGCTTAGGATCTGATCCTGAAAACATATATACACTTCACACTGCAACGAAGTATATTCCCCTCCTTGAGAACCTTAGAGTTAGATGACTAATGTAATTTAGTCTTTTGTAGGCAGATATTGAATATTTTGTTTATTGCACAGTACACACAAGTAAGTCATGTTTCACAGGTGTGTATTTTCAAATTCTTAATTATGTCTAATCACCAAATATGATAGTAGAAAATTATCCCTAAACAGATGCATTCTGACTCTAATGTAATCTAGGCCAGATTCTGAGACTTGTATTTGGTTTTTTGCACATAATCGTGTGCTGACACCAACATAAGTCATCAACGTTAAGGCCTTCAAAAAAGCCCAGGCCACGATTTACCCAGGCTTGTATTGCCATTTACCTCCCCTCTATGGACCCAAGTAAATTTGGCAACTTGTCCCTTCTTTAATTTACGTCGAGTACTCAAACACTTTACCAATATATGAACAGAAGGAAAGCAGGGAGAATGAATTTGGAGTGATACCAAAATTTAAAAATATGTATGATTTACTGACACTCCTTTCATATAAGGCATGTTAACAAGTAAGCTATCCTGCAGCTAAAACTGATGCATTACCTTAAAAAATCTGATTCAAAGGCAAAGAAGATTACACTGTTACAATGTATAATTCATGTTGTCAGCATGACATTTAATTTAATGAAGAGGCAAACACATTTTGCCTCCTCAGCAATTATTTTTTAAATCTGTAAGTCTCATACATGATAAAGATGATTGTGTAAATGACTGTATCAACAATTTACATGATTTCTCTCATAAAAGCTTCCCCAATATAAACATTTTCTTCAGTCCTTTTCAAGAAATTGGCACTTAAAGTATATGCATAATAATATATTTTGACTACATTAAAATTTTTTTGTAAGGAATAAAAATCAATCTGCCATAGTTCCAAAGTTTCCTGAATAGGCTTAAAATGCATCTCTAGTAATCTATCCTACTTTAGTGTTAAATAATGAGGTAGCACATTGTTCCAAAATTGTTCTGAATTACGTAAACCGTTTGCTACATGCTGTTTGGACTTCATTTTTTGTTTAGAGCTGTTTGGTAAAGCAGTACTTTCTGTCTTCCCTGGCTTGCTGGTTTTGCTTTTCTTTTGTGGAAGCTTATTACTATCATTTTTTCTTTTAACTTTTGCTTTTTCCTCTTCCTCTCCTTCTTCCTCCTCTCCCTCCTCCTCTTCTTCCTCCTCTCCCACATTCCCTTCCTCTTCTCCTTCTTCCCCCTCTGCCTCTTCCCCTTCCTGTTCCTCCTCTCCCTCTTCCCCTTCCTGTTCCTCCTCTCCCTCTTCCCCTTTTTCTTCTTCTCCCTCTTCCCCTTCTTCTTCCTCCCCTCCCTCTTCCTCTTCTCCCTCTTCCTCCTCTACCTCTTCTTCCTCCACTCCCTCTTCTCCCTCTCCTTCTTCAACTCCCTCTTCTCCCTCTTCTTCTTCCATTCCCTCTTCTCCCTCTCCTTCTTCAACTCCTTCTTCTTCCTCCCCTTCTTCCACTCCCTCTTCTTCTTCTTCCCCTTCCTCTTCTTCATTTTCCCACTCCTCTTCCTCCTTGTTTTCATCTTCTTCCCCCTCCTCCCCTTTTGCTTCTGCCTCTGTTCCTTCCTCTTCCTCCTCCTCCTCATCTTCTCTTTCCTCTTCCACTTCATCCTCCCCCTCTTCTCCTTCTTCCACTCCATCCTCCCCCACCTCCTTAGTCCTCCTATTTGCATCTTCCTCTTCCTGTTCTTCTTCAGATACCTCTTCTTCTTCCCTCCCTGCCAATGATTCTTCTAACTCCTCCTCTTCTCCCTCTTTGTCTTTTTCATTGCCCTTTTCTTTGTTCTCATCTTCATTTTCCTTTTCATCTTCTCCTTCCTCTTCTGCCTCTACCTCTTTTTCTTCCTCCCCCACTCTATCTTCACCTTCCTCACTCTCATCTCTTCCCTCACTTTTAACCTGTTCCACCTTTTCTTTTTCAGTGTCTTCCTCTTTTGCATACTCCTCCTCCTCCATATCCTTGTCTTCTCCCTCACTCAGCATTTCTTCCTCCATCAACCTGCCTTCCTCATCTCCTTGTTCTTTGCCATCTTCCTGATTAATCTCTTCAATCTCTACTGCACCCTCATTCTCACTGTCTCTTTCAGCCTGTGATTCCTCTCTCTCATTTTCTTCCTCATTATCTTTTTCCTCTTTGTCTTCATCTGTTTCTACTGAAACTTCATCTCTATCTTTTTTAACCTGACTCTCTCCTTCTTCCTCCCCTTCCAGTTCACCTTCACTGTCAGCTGTTTTATCTAGTTTTTCTTTTTCACTTTCACCCTTTTCACTGCCTTCACTCTCCTGCTCTTGATTAGATTCCTCCTCATTCTTAATTTCTAACTGCCTGTCTTCATCAGATTTAGCTTCAGAGTTTGTTTCTTCTTCACTCAGACTTTCTACATCAGTCTCTTCTACATATTCTTTCTCATTGTTTGTAGTTTGCATCTCCTCAATCTCACTGTCGTCTTTTTTTATGTACATTTTTTTCACATTTTCTACTGTTTCCATTGCCTTCTGGATCTCTCTGTCTTCATAGTAGTCCTCTTCTTTTTCCCTACTCTTATGTACGTATTTTGCAAGATCATTACTACTTTCCTCAGATGAAGATGATGACATAGTTACAGATTTTTTTTTTAAAAATTGATCCTTTTTTTTAAAACCCCTCTGCTCTTCACTACTTTCTTCTCCTCTGACGCATATTCTTTCACATTTATCAGATTTTTCAACAACATTCTTTATTTTGTTTCGACTTTCTACTGCTTCTTGACTTCTTTGCTTTTTAACAGGACTGGATTTTTGTGCAATAAATGAATCAGTCTGGGGCAGATCCCTGGATGCAGAAGGAAGTACATCTATTTTAAGGGATAGCTTAGATTTAACAGCTTTTGACTTTTTATTGGAATAATTTGTTTTTTCAGTCAGAATTTGTTTTTCAGGGGGAATGTTATGAGTTACTTCCTCTCTGACAAATTCAGGATTTTCCACATATTCTTTTTCCCTTTTCACTAATCTGCATTTGTCCCTAGTCATTTGTTGAACACCACTTTTCAAAGTACTAACAATTTGTGCATGCTCAGATTTACCTTTCATTGTAGTTTTCTGGGCCACAGGCTTCCCTACAAAGGCACTACTTTTTTCTAAATCTTGTCCCAGTGACTCTGAAGGTGAAGACTGCTTTTGTAAAGAGCCCGAGTCTAATTTTGAGCCCTCCTTCATGAAATCAGAATCCTTGTTTTTCAGCCCACCCTTACCATGTCTTTTCAGTTTCACATTTTTATTGTTCTTCTATTCCACATGAGAAGCAGAAAATTAAAAAGAAAGAAGGAAAGCATTAAGGACAAATGACAGCAAAAGAAAAAGGTTACAAAAACATCTGAACAAGAAAAGAAACAATTTGTATGAGGGGACTAAAAGATAGCATAAAAGGTAGAGTCTTGCACATGAAATGAATTTACAAGTGCACATATTAGAAGAATGTAGCATTTGGTTGATGACAAATGCACTACTACTCCTTTTTCACTATCCAAGCATACAAAGTAAATGCAGGAAGAACTGTACAGCCAGTATCATGTCCCATAAGCTAGAGCACATGCAATCTGTGAGGCTGTGCAAACAGAAGGAAAGAACTACAGTTCTCTTGCACCTTCTTCCACCTTTCCCCTTGGGAAATCTTCTGATGCACTCACTGTTACACTTTTTCTAATAAGTCTGAAAATATGTTGTCTTTCTGCTTTAAATTCTACCCTTATTAAACAAACTCTGCAGAATACTTTTTTAAATATAAAATAAAATTATAATGAAATATATCAAAATGCTGAAATGCCGGGATCACTTTAGGAGTGAAATAGAAAGATAATACAAAAGTATTTTAATTTCATAATTAAAACCTGTGTCATTGCTCCTTCAAATATCCTCCATGGTGAATTTCTGTAAATAAAAGCTTTACTTACACTGTGTCCCAAAAGTCAATTAAAATATTTTAGTATCAACAAACCAGTAGAAATTTATGTTATCAGCGTAAGTTACAAAGTGTATATGATAGTCTTTTATTCCTTAAACTGGTATAGTATTATATACGCTCATCTCAAACTATGCTGGATATGAGGAGCTCTATGTGCATGCACAAATTCTGAATTCTGTCAGCTTCTTAGAATTTTACCTCATGGATATTCAGAAAATTAGCAAGAGGCGGCCTATAAAATTTGCCTAGCTTTTTTAAAACTCAAAGCAAAACAATGAAGTACAAGGATAATACAAGACATCAGTATAAGTATATGTGCATATATGTAATTAGTTACAGTACCTTTTGTTTTTGGAGTGGTGATAATTTTAAGGACTGGTCACTGGGATTCAATCTCATTGCATGTGTCTGTAAAGAATAAGATCTCTATTAATAAAATAACTATAGTTAATAGGGAAAGCAGCATCAAAGCCCAGTTCTACTAAACAGAGCTATTATAAGTTATATAGACATTTTAATATTATTGCACAGTCAGATTGAGACAAATGTGCATGATCACTCAACTCACCTATTTCACTTCCACTCCTTCACTTACTCTTAGAGAGAGAGAGAGTGGTAACCAGCTTAGATGTCAACATCTAAACCATCTGTAGAGACCGAAAGCTACATGCCCTCTCTCACAGCCCACCAGCAGATTTCAGATCCACCTTCCACTCATCGTGAAGTTGTGGCTACAACTTACTCCCTTATCATCACAACCTTCAACTTAACACCCAGTTTGATACCACAGCCTTTGAAAGAACATGTTCGAACAAACATTATAGAGCAGAAATTTTCATTGGAATCTAATGCCTTTATCTCTTCTGTATAAAGCAAAAAAAGAAAAGGCAAGGCAATGTAGAAAAATGCTACTAGCTGGGCAAGTATAGTGAGATTTTGGTCATCCCTTCCCATATACTCCAAATGACAAGATAATGTTCTCTGCTGCTGTTTGTTAACTGCTTATGGTTTAACCACCATATTCTTTTTCAACACAGTGAGCACAAACAGTTCTGGTTTCTGACTTCCAAGAATTTTTATCATCAATATGATATTAAAGGGTTTTCCTCCTCTTGTCACACTTGTAAATAAGATATACGTTGCCACAGTTTAGAAAAACTGAAACAACTATGCTGTAACAGATTATTTGCATTCAGATTCAAGAAGAGCAATTGTTTTTCTTTGTATTTCAACACGTTTGCCGGACAGAATTTTTCAAATTTACTGTTTCATTCTGGTAAATGTTTTCAAATTCATTCACAATGGGTACAAAACCAAAAAGGAGAAGAAAGTCTAGCCCAAAAAGTGCAATATGTTATAAGTAATGAAGGCCACGTTATGCATCATATCTGAAAACAATTTTTTTCTTGTAAATGAAAATAAAGTTTTAGAACTGTTAAATAAATGGTATGCACAGACTGTTAAATTATTAAGTACTGTTAATTACAAACAAGTAATAATTCCTGTAAACTGTGCAATCCCTCCAGCATAACTGACAACGTATCCTGAGCTGAGTCTACAGTGAATTACTCATTTTTTTCCATTCCATTGAAGTTAAAAAAAAGACAAAAAAACCCTCTCTTTCCAGTGCGCTGCATTAAGGTCAGGACATGCCCTGTCTGCTGAGAGAACAAAATGTTTTGGAAAGGTGTGCAAGTGATAGGGTGAACATATTTTTTAAATAAGAGAAATACGTGAGAACATGCTTGGGGATCACCAAATAATCCAAATGTCTGCATTTTGGTCTTCCCTTTAATATGATCCACCTGTACTAAAAAAGCTCTTCTTGGAACAGGATCAGACAGCTCTCTGCTTCATTTCCTGCAATTCTCTCTCTTAGAAATCATCAAGATGAGGAAGGTCAGAGATAGAGATCACCATGTGGCATCCAGCATCCTTCTCCATTTCTTTCTGATATCCAGAGCTAAAGCGTGGGGAGGGGCTACACTACTTGGACTGCTTCAATCAGATATTTCAACATTACTTGGAAACTGAAAACAAACTTTAGCATTGGATAATGATGATATGAAATGCATGCTCATTTAACAGTATGTCAGTACTTCTTGATGCCACATATGAGGTTCTGGGCTAGCTAGGAGTTCTTTACTAGAACGTGAAATATGATGTAGCTGCTTTGTTCTTCCGCTGCATAAAAACAATTGAATCACAGATTCATTAGTGGAATATATTACCATATTTAGGATGTCAGTTGTATCTCCAAGGTTTCTGTCATTATTTTCATTATCTGAATCATCTTCTGCAGAGCCTTCACCAGGCTTATCTTTTTGATGATTCTTTTCTTTAAGGTAAAAGAGGGGGAAGTAAACAAATACCATAGGAAAAAGCAATATATATCAAGCAGAACACCCTGTTAGATTACCTCTATTTTACTGACATAGGACTGAAGTCCTGAGATTACTCATTCCCCCAGCCTAAGACACAGCAGAAATACTTCTACCTCCTTTTCATCAGTATTAACATTAGCTCAGAAATCTGGGCTCAGTGCATTGTAGATCTTTGACCATTTTTGCAGGCTTTCAAAGCACAAATATTACAGGGGACAAAGCTTCTTTTGGATAATCTCTTTAATAATAGTGTACCAATTAGATGAAATTAGCTGCAGTCATATTACCTACATTGCACATTATCTGTGTAATGGATGGAGAGACAGTGAGTTAACTCCAATGCAGCATCATAAAAATGTACCTACATCACTTTCAGATTCACCTCAAGTTCACCAGGTATATGACCGGTTTCGTATGGCACAAAACCTGAGGTTTTAGGCCTCAGAAGACTCTAAAGGCAATTCAGATTTCACTGCATTGCTTTCCTGGAACCAGAAATGCTAAAGGACATGCTGGCAGCTTTACAAATAACCATCTTAATTCTAACTGAATTAATTACTTTCAAATTGGATTTGACTGTCCAATAAATCTGAGCTAACTTTTGCACAGAAGCACTGCATTCTGCACTCTTCCGCACTGCTCTTCCCAGGAAATCACACATGCCCAGGAACCCAGATGAAGTCCAGAACTGCTCTAGAGAATCTGTGCAAAAGTCCAGCACTGTATCAGTATCATTGTTATCCAGGCTCTTGCATTAGCTAGAATATTGCAAATACTTATTATCTTAGATATCAGAGTGAAGAGTACTTTTGCATTTCCAAGTGAAGAAGAAAGCTCCTATAAGAATTAGCAGACCTCTTTTCTTATCCTCTTGTAGGCCCTCCTGTATCTTTATGACTGTTCCTAAACAAATTTTTTTCTGCAATTCTTTTTTTTTTTTGTTTGTGAAAATGGAGAAAGTGGTTACTAATCTTACAGAATTTTTGTGAAGTCATATTTCTACAGGCTTGAGGAACCTCAGTACCATTCAGAAGTTGTTTTTCTTTCACTCAACCCTCCTCTAAATATTTAAGCCCATTTTCCAAACATGAACCAAGTATGACGCAATTTCTTATATGCATTTCCCAACTTTCACATCTGTATTCTGCCAGACCCTCTTGAGGTAAGACTGAACTTACACCTTCTTTCATGTTCAAACTGAGCATTTGTTTATGAATGATGAGAGCCAAACTACACACTTCTCAGAAAACAGCAACAAAATGTGGGGACACTTCACCTTTTTCATGGTCTCTATGCTTCACAGGTTCAGCTTTAGGAAGACTTGTTGCAGAAAAACAGAGTGGACTAGTGTTGCTAGTCACAGGCAATGAAGATTTTAAGAAGCTTTCTCCCAGTGGAGGCAGAGTTCGTGCCATTCGAATAAACTGTTCTGGTGACTTTTCCTTTAGAAGGTTAAAAAAAAATTATTGAGAATAAGAGTAGAAGAATAAAATGTAAGCAACCTCTCATACTTAACCGTGTTTTCCTTTAGTTGACGATACAGTGTTGTAACTTTGTATGCAAAGCATAAACAAAATTTCTTGAATATTTTAATTATTATAAAAAGTCGAGAGATACAGTGGGATTTTTTAGGTCATTTCTGCACAATAATCTCAAGCAGTCTTAAATGTAGACAAAGGATAAAAAGAATTCTTATTTTTATTTAAAATGAAAATACTAGTTTCTCAAATAATACCAAGTAACTTAATCCACAGCATCAATATATTTTTACAAAATAAATGTGGTTTTGTGATAGAGTTAGTTTTCAGGCAGGTAAGTGAAATGATCCAACTCATTGTGCTGCTAAAGAAATCATATGGAACGTGTAGCGGAGGTAAAGGAGAAGAAACTACTTTTTTAAGTAGCTACAGGATCTGAGGATCATTTTAAGCTGATTGTGAAACCTCCCCCTTTGATATTTTATAAACTATGAACTTGTTTCATCTATTCAGAGACTCAGACTCAAACACCAAAAAGAGTCAGGTTCTTGCTCTTTTTTTTAATATTTCTAAGATATTTTTAAAAATGCAAAGGAACAGGCTCTACATTTTAGAATAAAAAAAATACAAACCCAATTTGAGTCTTTTTTCACAGAAATAAACAAATAAAATCCAACCAATACCTATCTTTTACCTGCATCAATTTTGGGACCAGGGTAGATATTCACTCTTCTTTTTAATACATTAAAATTAAACACTTATTTTAAGGAGATATATTTATCTTCTGGGTATATGCTGTGATTTTGGTTTTAAAAGTTTTGTTTCCTAAAACAAGTATGGCAACTCTAAACAGCTCTGAATTTACCCTCTCTCGACGTCGCATTCGTGCTGATGTTAGTTGTAAGGTGTTTGTTAGTAGTGAGTCTCCACTCATTTTAGAGATAGTAGCAGTCAAACAGCTCTCATATAAATCTTCTGAGTGTATTTCTTCAGATTCTTTAGGTCTTGGAGCAGCAAAAACTAGCATGTGACAACCACCACAAGCAACCTACAGCACCAAAAAAGGTCTGCTTATTTCATGTGCAAGTATCAGTACAAGGATCTAATTTTCTTACAATCATCTCTTAGGGACTTGGATTGTAAGAAAAACAGAGATGTTAAATTGCTTCAAATTTAGCTCCTAATGACATTAGCAAGATAAAAGTATATAATTACAATTTTTAATGACTAGTGATCTATGTTCATTTCTTCTTAAATACAACATAGTTGTATTGAGCAGAACAGAAGATAGGTCTGTCATATTATTGATACAGAAGAAAGCAAAAATATTTCCACTGAATTTAAAGGGATTGGAACTAATTATTTTGATGCAAGTCAAATGTGGGCAATACTGATAACTTCAGTGATACAAACCTAGATATTTTATCACAAAATCCACATGTAAATATAATGCAAAGTCCTATACCCTCCAATGGACAAAGTATAATTACATAAAGATCAGAGGTTTCACTTTCTAAAAAGTTTAAATCCCTTACCACTTCTGATAAGACTTCCTTAAACTCTAAGTCTAGTAAACAAACAGAAGTGAGCCACAGACTTTTGTCTCAAATTTTGCTCAATCCTGAGTCACGTTTGCACTTTTGATACTGGCAATTCTGTGATATTTATTTCTTAAACGCCTCAGGAAACAGATGAAAACAATGCCCTTAAAAGAAAACAGTACTTCTCCTTTCTCATCCCATTTGGATTCAAAAAAGCAATTCCTCAAATTTTCTTAAGATTTAATAAATATCCCACTGTAAAATTAATTGTTAAAATTAAAAAGATGTTTTCAGAACAGATATGAGTTTCCCCCCTACTGCCACCAATCCGAGAGCAAAAAACATTTAATTTTACAGGCTACTACCAGCTCTATAAACCAAAACACTACAGCACACCACTACTGAATAAAACCCTAAAAAGCAGTCTATATGTGTAGTCCAAACCAAGTACATTCTAAACTAAATGAAGTGTGATAAGTAAATATAATTTCCCTTTTCTTTCAATTTGTGTTGTCTACTAATTAAATGTTGTAGAAAAAAATAATTCTATAATGAGATTTCAACTCTTATTAGTAACATGTTTCATAAAAATATAAACAAACAAAAGTTTTACCAAAAGGACTGTGAACCTCAAGAAATTATAACACAGAGCGGGATCAAACTGATTTGTAAAATTCTCTTCTCCGAGTCCTAACTTGCCGTGTCGCCCATCTCCAAAAGTAAACATGAGGCCGTTCTCTGTATATAGGAAAAAAAGGATGTTATTAATAACAAAGATTCAGTACAAAACCAGGACAAAACCATTACAAACCAAGTAACAGGCCATGCAAGTAAAGAATATTTCTCTTCCAAAAGCAAAACCTGAAAAATTATTTTCAGATTTTCAACAGATGAATATGATCCAAAAATATATATATATTTTCAGACAAAGTACTGTCGGAGATTAGAGTTAGTCTAGACAATTTTGGGGAAAAAAAAACCCCAACAACAAAACACTAAGATTGAAATTGTAGAGCAAAACAAAGGCTTCTAAACAAGAATCCTTGTTAGCAAGATGTGTCTATGAGGTTACAATTCCCCAGGAGATACCATGTACAGAACTACGCATGGCATGGCTGTGAATCAGAAATTTCTAATATCAAACCTGGCTTTCTCACTAGCTCACTTAACCTTTAGAACTAGTAAGTCTGCATATATTGTCTTCTACTGCTCATTTTATAAAGAAAGCTTTTACAGCATAATAGTCAGTCACTGGAAGTGCGTTTCAGAATTTTTCACTTACATACCTGCAATTACAGCAGTATGATTTTCCCCACATGTAATGTTGCATATTTTATGCCTCCTCAAGTGTTTCACAGACTTCGGTACTGAAGTTTCAAAAATAAAAGTACCATGTCCCAGCTGCCCATATTGTCCAAGTCCAAAAGTATATACATCTGTCTCTGAAAACGTACAGGCAAAGTTAGCAACAAATATGCTGATATATACATTACAACCTGCTTTCTATTACTCAAGTGAACGTCAAATGACATCAGTCTCAAAAAGCAATGTTTTATTAATTAAAAAATGTACCAACTAATTAATTACATTCATCAGTTAAGATCAAAATAAAAACAAAAAAAACAGGCAATGAAGCACTAAAATACATACAGAAAATAATTTTGAATGGTTCAATATGCAATATATTTTCTAACATAACTGCAAAATAATCCACTGATCACATGTACACAAAATATCAGCTAACAAAAAATTTATGGGAGTTTACATACTGCAATTAATTCAAGACCACAATGTTTACATATATGTGCATTTCCAAGTACAATAGTCTCAACTTAATTTCTGGTTACCTGAATGTACACTGTATGACCCTAAATTTAATAGACTAGACCTCTTCAAACCAACACTAATTTGTGTGTAAGTGGAGACTGGAACAGTAACAGAATAGGTTTCAGTATTCTGTTAGGCTACCAAATCAGCCCTGCATTACATACAGAGAACACTATAATTGTGTTATCTTGTGACAGAATAATCATCTTTCCACATTTATATTTTGTCCATTTAATGGATTGTCTGTGCCAGGAAAAAGAATGAGAGCTTCTCCAAAGCAATAAAGATTCTTTGTGTGTCCATCCCTGGCACCCCATCACAACAGGGGAAGACTGTAAAGCTTGGAAATCTTCATGAGGTCATGCTTGAAAAGGGAAATTCAAAGACTAAGTATTTTTGGGAAAAGGAGGAGTTTTCCTGGAATTTTACTCTCTGCCCCTTTTTTTTCCGCATGTAGGCAACAAAGAAAAAGCTACAGAAGTACTAATTAGGACTTGAAAAACTGTTACAAAAACCTGTGAAAGATTGGGAAGGACAAAAAATATTCTATGTCAAGTAAAAAGAACTGCGACTTGGGAGCAATATATTGTTACATCATTGTCATGAACATGGTGCAGAGCATGCCTGCTCCTGCTGCGCAGATGCCATCAGGTCAAAAATCTCACCGCTTTCAAAAGCCAGAGAGGAATGGCTATCCACAGCTGAATGTGTGCAAATCGACAGAGAACCTTTGCTTGTTGAGCACGTCTTTGTGTCAAGGAAACAAGGTCACTGGAATAGCAAAGTAAGTTTCAGTGCCACAGAAGTAGTTTATACTGTGCAACCAAATTCTCAGAGCAGCCGCAAACTGGAGAAATATTAAAAACAAATTATGTTACCATTCCCCCAATGTAATCCTTCACTACTGTCCGGGAACAAGAAAGCAGAGAACAGACCAGATTCCATATTACTACCATAGTACACTTAGTAATTTATCTTGAACTTTCCAATTTCAAAGGAACCATGCTGAAACACTCTAACACTACATATGGAAATGTTCTTTCTAGGAAAGGGTTTGCCCTTTCTGTCCCTTTAAAATTGTTCCATGTTAAGATGTTATGAATTCACACCATAAAAAACCCCCAGTGATTTCACACTTTTTCCAATTGTACATGAAAAATATTTAGGAAAGCTGTTTTCTACTGAATGTAATAGTAAAGCTCCCTCTGCTGGAAATTGCAGTGCAAGAGAGCAACATCTTCTCGGGATCTTTAAAAGTAAATCGAGAAGTAAGAATTTTTCTGTGACATTTAGACTTTCTGGATAAGAATCAAGAAACTGCTCCTGAAAGACAGGAGCTTTCTCTAAGCGAGCCAAAGTCTCATCTTCATTTTAGTATTTTAGCTCTCTCAGTATGGCTTATTCCATAAATGCTGCTTAAAAGTACTGCATTTGTGTTAACATTTTTTTGGAAACTGGTAGATCTTGCCATTTTCAAACTATGTGGTTTTATCTGATTAACATAATTATTTTGAATGAAGTTGGAGTTTTTTCGTATTATCTTTAATCCTACCTTGAAACATGCAATACCTTTTTCATAAAACAAGTTAGATCTCCAAAGGCATTTGTGTTCAGAGGGAGATGTTCTCAAATGCTAACTTTAGAAGTACAGGAACTTATTTTCTTTCCCCAATTTCTACTGACAATGAGGAGAACAGGGCAATCCAAAACCAGGTTAGAGTGCCTTTATAAGAAGAATGATTTTTCCTACTGCCCTTATAGACCAGGGACACCTAAATTTTGCTCCTCCTAAAATTCGCTTGGAAGACAAAAACCTTGCACCTATCTTAAATGATTCACCACTCTGGTGCAGAAGTGAGGCCAAACCTCAGTAATAATCCCATTTAGCAGAAATTAGGTATTTCCTCCTACCTGTCATTGTAAGTACATGGAAAGTCGATGGCAAAGCAGCCTCACAGACTTAGTGATAAAATGACAGAGGTGAATTTCATCACTCTGAACTTGAATGTGCCTACAGCATGAATCTGAAAGGGGATACCGCCTTACTGTCACCTTCTTCTTATTGTCCTCAGTCCCAGTAAGGATATGGTTGGATGAAACAAACAAAATGCACTGCCAGCAAACGGGTAGATTTTCCTCTCCCATTCTCTCTCTTCAGTCCTCACTTACACTGTCTCTGCTGTCCATTTGGCTATGTGGTGAGCCAGCTCAGCTCAGGTTTTGGAAGGGTTTTGCTGGTATAGGTTCCTGTGGAATGGTCAAGGCAGCAGTAAAGTGGTACAAGGGCAAAAGAAAGCTGTATGGCCACAGCAACACGAGGGAAGCAGCACTGCCTCCAATGCATCAGTGAATCACAAGGAAGGCTCAGCCTTATTAACAGCACCCAGACGAAACAGAACACAAGTCCTGTCTTGGCCTCGAGGAAGGAACCGCTGCCTCCACAGCAGCAGCCCATGAGAAGGGCCCTTGAAGGATGAAGAGAAATGGTTTCAGAGCTTGCACAGAAGCCAATGGCTTCACTGTTCCAAGTGACCTCCAGCACTTGAGTGCTGGGACTGCTTCTCCTTTACTTCCTACATTTTCTTGTTTGGAATAACAGGGATATTTTCCTGTAACTGTGTATCTTCCACCTTTGCAGGCATCTTCTGGAGTGCGTAATAGTTCTTTAATCTCCACCACCATTATCACTACAAATAAAATAGTCCTAGGCAAAAATCTACACAGCTTTCAGATTTTTTTTAACACATGCTATTTGCTGAAAGAACTGAGTGAGGTCCTAGAGTGTATTTAAGATTCATGCATTCCTTGCTATATACTTAAGGCTATAGACAAAGTTAAAAATCCACAGAAGAAAAGCAGACACAGACAGGTATGCTTATATCTCTCCACATAGATTCATTTCCCTTGAACATTGTTAATATTATTATTATTATTATTACTACTACTACTACTACTACCACCACCACCACCACTATTGTGCCAATGGGACAACAGCTTTATTTTTAAACAGCTTATGCTGAAAAATGTTACTATAAAAATCAGCTGTCAACACAATACTCAGTTTTACGAGAGCTAGTAATTGGATTTGGGGATTTCAGAATAAATAGTATACAGACTATGAAGAATGGTTTGAAAAATCTAGATAATCCTATAGGGTTTCAACAGTCAGTTCTGTCATGAAAGGTAGAGCTTCTTCATCCTTTTGTTCTCTGTCAAAAGGGTATCTTGACTTTCTTTTCTTTTTTAAAAGACCTTAAGACAGAAGATGAAAAATCCAACATTTTACATACTAACGCACTAATGTGCTGTATTGTTATGTCAAATGATCTATTCTCGAAGGAGTGCTTCACTTTTTCCTTTGAAGAGATATCTGTGCTTTCCTTCCCTTCAGAGAATAAAAGGAGGTAATATATCTTTTTATAGAGAGGATTATTCCCAGAGGATCTGTCATCATCTGAAAAAATGGAAGATATTAAGGCCACTCCCAATCATCTGTTTCTTCTCCAACTTCTAGATGCACAAGTTATTGTTATTCTACTTTTTTAAAAGCTTTATTGAAAAAGTACGCAAATTGGGATTGCTGCGCTCTCATATTTCCATTGAAAGTGACAATACCAACAGC